TACGCGGAGCCTCCGGTGATTTATTGCCTGCAACTGGAACAGGCCAGCCTCTTCCGCCTACCAAAAAATTTCGCGCGCCACAAAATTATTCTCATTCTACCTCGGCTACAAAGCGGTCCTCTAGAGACCTATCCCCCACCTCTCACACGAACGCACACTGACATGCGGCTGCGATCTGCCGGCCGAACAGGGCTCTAAATTTTCGGAAAAAAATCTAAATTTTCCGGAAAATTCCACTACTACCGTATAAAAGCCGTTGGAGCGATCTACAACACCCCACACCTGAGCAGCTCGTCTTCTGAGAATACCAAGACGCAGGTTCGATCCCCGGGCCCTCCATTTCTCCTACATAGCTTTCTGCTCTATATTAGCCAGCGTTGCTCTCTCACCAAAGGTCCTCTGATAGTACCCAAGGACCAGGTTCACCATATAAATGGCAAACGTCGGGGGAGTGTTGTACAAACTACACAGCGGCGTTGAAGTCGACTGCACGTAGTAGTCCATAAACGACGGGCAAACATACGGTGGTTGTCCCTGACAATACAACCAATCATAGTCGATCACTGGGGCGCGCGCTAATTACATCCATCACAAAATTCGATTCGAATCGGGCATACCAATTTATGCTATATACAAGTGGCCAACTACGTATGCGGGTGGTTCACCGAGAAAATTTTTGAAAATTTTTGAAAATTTTTGAAATTTTTTCTATTTTTTGTTTACTTTCCCCCTAAAGCCGTGTGTAAATTTTCATGAAACCTTTCAACTCAGCTGAGGAAAGCAAACATATATTTCAACGCTCCTCATAAATGAGATCTTACCGGTCGAATCAAGTCGTCTCTGACTATCGCAAGGCACACTCCTGCTGGACCGAGATTCTTGCCGCCCGATGCGTAAATAACTCCGTAACTGTGAATAAAGAACTCACCCCATAATCAGCCATGAACGACATATACAACTACAGGAGTTTCACTAATTCTCCACGAATATAAATGTGGAGTATGTTCTTGACTAGTAGTTTTCATACAACTTCACTTCGAAAAAATGTCGCAAATTACTAATGTGAATCTATTTAATTTTCACAAGCTTAAATCGAATTAGCATTATTACTTTTCAACATTAACTGGTCTCGACAAGAGCGTGCTGGTCATATCAATAACAACATTGCGGCCTGAATCCTTCAAAGCACTCGCCAAACTGTCGTCGAGATACTCCAAGCCCTCCATAGTTTCGTTGGCAGTGAAGTGAATGAAAGAAACTTCGTCGGGCGGGGACGACAGATCAAGATCGGAATATCCTGACAGATACTCATTGGGCCTAATCTGAATCTTACACGCTCAACCTCATAGATACGGTACGAAAAAAACGAGTAAATTCATCAAAAACAACTAAATGATACGCAGCTGGTCAGAAACTAATCCTGCAAAAATCCTAATAATAGTAACACACAATTGGATATTTAAAATCTAACAAGCTCAACGTTGGAGGGAAAAAGAAACGATAACGCTCGTGACAATCCAACTGTGCTACGGTGATAAAATATTCATAATATATAAAAAATAAATATTCATTGAAGTTTCACATGAAGTGAAATGCAAAACCTGTTCTCACTGATTCACCACTAGTGTTTTAATATCATTTAAATCAATATGATAGCAGTTTACATACCACATTTCCGCCGGAACTCGAATTAGCCTACCTGGAAGGCCCCTCATATTGGTAGGGAGTTTCGCATTGAACTCCTCGTTGACGACTTTGATCTTATCCATGCCGATCATTCTGGCACATTCACCCAAGCAGCGTTGACCCCAATACCCAGTATCGATATACTCAACCACCTGTGGGGGGAAAGGGATATGCACATGGTCACCATCAACTACATGTGTTGGTGATGATGATGACAATATGAAAATGTGGGGGGAAAGGGATATGCACATGGTCATCAACTACATGTGTTGGTGATGATGATGACAATATGAAAATGTGGGGGGAAAGGGATATGCACATGGTCACCATCAACTACATGTGTTGGTGATGATGATGACAATATGAAAATGTGGGGGGAAAGGGATATGCACATGGTCATCAACTACATGTGTTGGTGATGATGATGACAATATGAAAATGTGGGGGGAAAGGGATATGCACATGGTCATCATCAACTACATGTGTTGGTGATGATGACAATATGAAAATGTGGGGGGAAAGGGATATGCACATGGTCATCAACTACATGTGTTGGTGATGATGATGACAATATGAAAATGTGGGGGGAAAGGGATATGCACATGGTCATCAACTACATGTGTTGGTGATGATGATGACAATATGAAAATGTGGGGGGAAAGGGATATGCACATGGTCATCATCAACTACATGTGTTGGTGATGATGATGACAATATGAAAATGTGGGGGGAAAGGGATATGCACATGGTCATCATCAACTACATGTGTTGGTGATGATGACAATATGAAAATGTGGGGGGAAAGGGATATGCACAT